CCCAGGAGGCCGTATGGGACCTTACGCTAGCTTTGAAGATCAATGGGTTTCGTTCGATGATGACTTTATGGTACGCCACAAGGCAGAGTACGTGCGCTCGATGGGCCTGGGAGGTAGCATGGCGTGGTCTCTTGACCTTGACGACTTTAGTGGAAAGAATTGTGGTTGTGGAAAATCTCCTCTCCTCGCTACTATTAATCATGTACTCAGAGGTCTGGAAGCACCACCTAGATGTCCGCTAGAAGAACGTAAGTGTATTTGCTAACTTAATACTTATAATATCTAGAAATTTAGAAGATGTTCGTCTACATATAAACCACACTCATGACGTTTTAATTTTTAATATTTTTTTTAATTTTATAGTACAAGCTGATACTCCGGAAACAGCGGAGGTCCCTGAAGCTGAAGTGCCAGAACCGGATGATATACCAGCCATTGCTGTTGAAGAAGTTGATACCGACGCTAACACTGATACCGATACCGATTCGAACACAAATGTCGACACTGATACCGACACGGAGACAGATTTAGTTGAAAATAGTGTAAGTAAAGTTTCTACAAAAATTAAACATTAGATAACTAAGCCCCGGATAATGAAATGCTACTAAATTTTAAGACGCACTTAAGTTAGACTGCACGCGAGTGTAAAGTAGAATTAGTTTTACTTATTTATATTATAATAAATTACTAACAATAGGTTAAGATCATTGTTACTAACATTTTATGGATTCTTAGTATCTCTGGTCTGAAATAAATGATTAATAATAAATAAATTAAGTAGGTATAGTTCAGTAAACACAAATTCTTTGTAAAATGACAAAGGTGGCACGACATTTAAGTACACCTTAAAATTGCGTAGCTTTTCAGTATTATGATTAATTATTTTTTATAATTATCATGTTTTTCTTTAATAACTATCATGAGACATACTAAGTTAATTGAAAATACGTGAATAAACCGCGGTTTTTAATTGATTATCGTGTTGTTCAACAGGGTCCAAGTCTTGAAGGCGGTGCATGCACTGGAACTGTATTCAAAGCCGACGAGAACAAATGCAGCAAATATTACCTGTGTCTTAATGGACACTGGATGCAATTAGAATGTCCTGCACCTCTACAGTGGCACAAGGTAAAATTGATTGCTATAGTTGTTAATAATGAATTATTTATTAAGAAGGGCGTTACTTAAATATTATTTTTACAGAATCACTGTGACTGGCCTGAAAAAGCCCAATGCAGAACAAAGGCTGGACTACGAATTGGAGGCATAGAACCGGAAGAAGTACAAGATGACAAGTCTATTGTAGGATGCTACTTCACTAATTGGGCTTTCTATAGGTAATAACGATACCATAATCACAAAAAATCTTAAAATAACATTCAATTCAATAATAAACTGAGATATGCATGTCTGCTGTCACAATCTGTGCGGTAATTTTAAATATTTAATTCCAAGCCCATTTTTATTTTATTAATTCCAGGCCCGGTAAAGGCAGTTTTGGACCTGAACAAGTAAACCCATCTCTATGTACCCACATTATATACGCCTGGGCACATCTTGATGGCAATTCCTTTAATTTGATTCCTGGAAACTCCGAACTTGATCTGGAAAATGGTGTGTATTACGTACAAAATACGAGAAAAATACTTACCTTCAATACATAATTCTTCTCCAGATTCCCTAAAGTCCTGTTTCTTATTTTAGACTTTTACGGCAAGCTAACACAGCTGAGACAAACTGGTGTCAAAGTTATTATCGGTGCTGGTGGCCTTACGGATTCTGATAGCAGAAAATGGAGCACAATGGTATCAAGTCCAGAAAACAGAACGATATTTGTGAATTCAGTATTGAAATTCTTGCAAAGATGGCACTTCGATGGTATTCAGATTGCTTGGCAGTACCCAGGATGCCGACAGGTAAATCTTTTAAAAGCTTTGTAGGTAGTATTTGTGTTAGTACAATTATTTTATATGTTTTTTTTTTATTCTAGACTCCATGCAAGAGCGAATCTTTCAACTATAAGGAAAGGGACAATTTCGCCGACTTATTGTCTGAGTTATCAAGAAAGCTTCGTCCTCATAACCTTGAGATATCAGCCATGGTCACCGCTTCGCCAGAAATCGCTCAACTTGCCTACAAGCCTCACATCCTAGCCTCAGAATTAGACTGGGTCGCTATTGCTGCTAATGATTACTATGCGTCCTCCACTGGAAAGACATCGTATTTAGTGCCACTACAGTCAAGTCACGGAAGCAATAGTTTGGTAAGCTAATAAATTAATCTCTGACCATAAAACTATTTTTAGTTAAGTATTTGAATAATTATCAAACTAATTCCAAAAATAAACAAAAGTAGGTAACCTAAAACTAATTCTTTAGAATATTAACTCACAAACATTAATAGTTATGTATATTTTGTGTACAGAATGCCTCCCTGTCGTACTGGACGAGGGCGTTGCCGCCTCGTCATGTAGTGCTCGGTATACCAGCGTACGGGCGCTCGTACACTCTGCGCAGCGCTTCCAACACCGCGCTGGGAGCTCCTGTCACCGGCCCCGGGGAACCTGGACCTTACACACGCGTACCAGGCCTCTTGGCCTATTATGAGGTCAGTACATCTTCTTTCTTTTTTCAGCGATCCAAATTTACCCTTTCCATAGAACCAATTTATCGATGAATGGTGATTATTTTACTAAAATTCACGGTAAATTACGGCAATATTTTCCGCTATACGCTATAGATAAAAAACATACGAGTGAAATGAGGAGACAGATCATATTATTATCTATAAGATAAGATAGTGAAGGCCTACTTTTAGCGCTAGATGTGTAAATGACATCCGATCATTTTATTAGGATTGATTCTTGTTGCTATGCTATATCTTGACAGGATCCGAACTTTAAATCCGACAATGTCGATACAAAACAATAACACATTATTTTTGCCAGGTTGCGGATGGTTTAGCGAGTCACCAATGGAAGGAGAGTCGAACTTCGGAGGGTACGTTTAGTGTCCGCGGTGGACAATGGGCATCGTACCTGAGCGTGGCGGACGTTGGAAGTATAGGAGCAGCAGCGAGACGGGCTGGTGCCCGCGGTGCGGCGCTGTGGGCGCTCGACCTCGACGTGCGAGGAGACTGCTCACTGCTGAACGCCATGCGCCGCGGTCTCATCGAACCTGACCTACCTCTCGAGCAGTGCGCGCCTGCAGCGTGAACATTACAACCTCGGAGTACCCAGAAACCTATACTTTTGTTTTATGTTAAAACGGTGACTTCTCTGTGAGATACCGATTATGAGACTGTCGTGTGGGTGCTCGTCCAAGACTTAATTTAGTTTATACTTAGACTATTTAGATATTTCATTGTGATATTTTTGATACGTAGGTAGGTGAATTGTCTACTTATTAATATGTGCGTAGAGTCCTCGCGTAAATTCCTTGATTTTTACTTGACGGTCAGTTTAATTTAAAGGTAGATTATTTTTTTGTTCTTTGTACCCACTATTTAACGATGTGTCATGTACTGATTAGGTCAAAATTCCGATTTAAGTAAAAGTGCAAGGAATTAGGATAAAATAATGATTTGACAATGAAAAAATAAGATTACTTTAAGCCCGTTGTCTATAAAAAAATATTTTTTTTTACAATAGGTATCTTGGAGCCAATAATATTAGAAATGACCGTACTATGAATAGTTACCAGAACACTTACCTACTGTGTATAGTGCGTATGATAATGCTTCATTGCTGATATCACTGATTAAACATTGCACATTTCGTCTGATAATAAAACGATAACTTTAATTTTACGCTGTTTTTTAATTATCACCCTGAGACCCTGAGTAAATAAACTCTTTAATTAGGAATTTTCATTCTGACCTTGAATTTTATAATAATATTTCCAACTTCAGGAACGAAGATACCATGTACTTACTTCCTTTACATCCTTAGACAAAGGCTACGTTTCAATCTTGCATTAGTTGCGAATAATCTTGACCTAGTGGTGTAACTCTAATGAGTGTGTAGGTATATGTATGTTGGTTGGTACTTACGTTTTAATTAACCGTATATATTAAAATATGGACCTATGTATAAATTGTTGCATCAGTTCATCGGTGTTCTATCAAACAAAACTAAATAACATTTGTTACATTAATGTAATACATACAAAACAGTCAAATTAGTTAGATAATTGACACGAACAGGTATATTTTGTATTAAGTACTGAGACTACTTCATCAAAGCGCCATTGATAACACCCTGATGTCACACAATTACATCACCCAATGATTTGCAAATATACCTATGTCTAGGCGTGACAATTTCACGGTATACCGTGACTTTTTATTTTCCATACAAAACATATTATGCTATGTCACACAATGACTACGTTAACGTATCACCGTTATCCAAACAGTCGAAAGTTCAAAAGTACAAAATCCAGCGGGTGATGTAAAACCTGATTATAGACAACCAAGGTCATCGAACCGCTAGACAGATTAAATATTTATCCCACATATAGAACACCAAGACAATTACATATTGCAAAAATATAATACGTCTAAGTATAATATCAATTTTACGCTTGATAAGATACGTACAAACGTGAACACTAATAAATCCTACTAGATACTGGTACTCGATTATAAACTGTATAACTCCGTGAGTCCAAACTCCATCCAGTTTGACAATTGATTCATATAACAGCACACGCCACGCCGCTTTCGTAGATATTGTTGGGTCAGAACTAACATAATTATACGAACTGTGTAACAAAAGTGAATATAAATGTCATTATTGTAATAGTAGACATCTAACTACTATCAGGTTTAGCGAAACTGAAGTACAATAATTAAAATAACCTCTTAAAAGTACGTTGAACTTGTATCGAACATTACACGACTGCGTTTACCATTGACTTATAATAAATAATTACATACTACCTACAACAAATTTTTTTTTTTTTAGATATGTGATTATTTTTGAAAATCAAACAAGAAATATGACAAAACTTTTTTACAAGATATTGACGAGCGCGCCAAAATTAAAATCCACTCCTTTCCCAAGGAAACTGAGCACTCAGGTAAGTAAATACCTTTATGGATTTGTGCCTATTAATACTAATAATTAATTATTTTATTAAGATTTTGTATGCTTATTGAAAAGATTCACGTCACAAGCCACAATAGACAATACGAGATACTTAACGTAAGTAGGTAGGTTCTTAAATATAAAAATAAGCAATATGCATAAATAAATAATAAATTACTGAATTCATATGCGTAGTTTTTACTAGACCGTGTAGACTAGGTCGATGAATCATAAGTAAATAGTGTACTTTGAACGGACGAGCGAATTTATAGGTACCAAACAGAAAGACATTATTAATGAATTACTTTTACCAACAGATTCCTACTAAAGAAGTACGGATACCAGTGCAATATGGACATATTGCGGGCAAGCTATGGGGCAACAGTAGTGAGCGACCTATACTGGCGTTACACGGATGGCAAGACAATGCGGGCACCTGGGACCCTCTGATCCCCATGATCATCAAAGACAGACCGATATTAGCATTAGACTTTCCTGGACACGGATTTTCGTCCTGGACACCCGGTACATAATATGAATACATCTCTTCCAATAACGCCTAAGTATAGCATGTAGGTACCTATTATGGACACAGTATAACGAATTTATTAATTTTCAGGTCTAACATACAACGAATGGGAATGGCCAAGATTGATTTTATATCTTAAAGAATACTTCAAGTGGGATAAAGTTTCCTTTCTATCTCACTCTATGGGAGCTATCGCTGCAACGCGGTTCGCGAGCGTGTTTCCTGAGGACGTCGATTTTTACATAGCAATAGACAGTTTTATATTAGAAAACTTAAATACCAATACTTTAGTAGAAAAAATATACCCAAAATTACTACAAAAGGCTTTTGTCACCGACCATTGGTTGGATAAGGAGCCTCCATCATACACGTTAGAAGAAATAACAAACATGTGGCACTTGGCAACGAGGAAGTCTATAGCATTAGACAGTGTTCAGCACCTGATGAAAAGAGGTGTGAAGCAATCAAAAACCGATCCAAACAAACATTATTTCTCCCGGGATCCTAGGTTAAAGTACGTGATCCTCATTCCTGAAGATAGGAAGTTTACAGAAGCCCTCGTCCGAAGAATAAAGTGCCCAATGCTGTTCTTGAAAGCGACAGACTCTCCGTTTTCTGCCGGAAAATTTTCTATTGCCATGCGTGAAATGATAGAGAAACAGAACGATAAATACGAATTTCATTTCGTGCCCGGCAAACATCACGTTCATTTAAATAATCCTGAAGTAGTGGCTCCTCTAATTAACAATTTCTTACAAAAACATAAATTGGACGCTTGAATTTATGTTAACAATAAAATAAATTGACCTATCTGGTTCTTCGATGAATGAACTTACATAATTAATAAGGTTGCCGAAATCAGCTATGTAATGTAATCTCCAATCTGGGTTGATCTCCAGCGATTACAATTAATCCAGCTCTAGGACTATAGTTTGCGTAGGATCTTACTACAACGACAATGACAAACGATGATAATATGGCGCGTGTAATCTACATTACTACATTAAGTAGGTACCTACTTATTATTTATTTATGTATAGATGATAGGTACATGATATTGATGAAGTGCAAGAATACATTATCTGATAGTTAAGATAATTGGAAGTTTCATTTCCGCTTCCTAATAAGCTATATTATCTACGAAAGCGTACCATTTCGTTTTGTATTTTCTATGAACATCATGTAAGTAGTTAAGAATTTCTAAAACTATTATACATACTATTGAAATAAATACATTTTATAAAATAATTGCTAAGTGTTTGTTCTTTTTACTTCTACAATGGTAATACTGTAATAATAATTAGTAATATAGCTACACACTGGACATAATCCCAGACTAAACTACTGAGAATTTTCGAAAACTGAAAAGCCTAAATTAACTGTAATCGTTGCTAAAACCCCTCACAAGGCAATCAAGAGAGATTGGAGAGATGATATTTCTTAATCTAGAGGATATAATCAATCTATCCAAAAATCTCCGTAAGGACAGTGCAGTAGCGTAACTACTTTCATTGGGGCCATGGTCAAGAGTAGAAAGGTCCGAGCCTACTTTATAATAATAATTAGTTCATACCCCAATTAACCCTACAGCTGATATGACTCTCGCCATTAAAGTCCCTTGGGGAATACTAATAAAATAAATAACTGACGCGTGACGCTAACGTACGCGGAAGAAATGACGACCTTCATGTAGATAACTCTTTGTACCAGATAACTCAGAAACTATTTTCATATTATTCAATTACAAAAATCATATAAAACAATAGTACCTACTCAGATATCATCGTCCGTAACATAACATAAACTAGGGCTGTAACTTTTACTAGGAGTTCAAAGTCCAATATTGTGTGACGGTATTCAATCGTACAAAACACAGAGCGCGGCCTTGGCAATGTTATTCTTGCGCGGTGGCCGGTGCGTCACTCGTGTTCATGAAACCTGTGTACTGTGTAACAACTATAGTGAAATATCTTTAGATATTGTGCAAAAATTATATAACTCAAATAGCTAAGTAAACTAGATAATACTAACGCATATTCAAATATACGTTGAGTGAAACATCTACCCACACTAACTCGTGACAGTTCGATAAAACTTATAACCTCTCTACAATTTGACATGTACTTAGCGAAATTGAAAACAAGAGAAGTGAATCGTTAAATTATTTTTTCAAAGTGATATCTGTGTTGACTTTATCTTCCTGTGACCGGAATCATGGCTAGACGCTTGTTAAGCCGCATGATTTTGAACTCTAATACGACGTCGATAAAATCGTCGTTGCCTGTACTTAGTAAAAAATTGCATAGTCAGGTGAGTTACTTGTAAATTAGTGCGCTTACAGTTCCTGATAATTTTGTTATTAAAAAATGTTCGCAATTACGAAAATGGACATTTTATTTCAATCACACTATAAAATTGCAATTCTAATTCCTAGGTTAGATACCTACAATATTTCTAATTTAAATACTACTTACCTATTTATTTTTTATGTTAAAAAACTGTTAACCGTTAGCTGATGAGATTTTATTGGACCTACGTATAACACTGGTCACTGGATCATGGTCATTCTTAATTATCTAACATTTTTACACACTTGAAATAAGTACTAGATATTACAACTCTTTAATTATGACTTCAGAAAATCTTTTTTTATTAGTTTAGTTTATTGATAATAAAGTATGAGTAGGTATCTACCATAAAATAGGAATTTGTCCTATAAAATTAAGTAGGTAATAAATAACTATGAAGTTATATATATAAAAAACCTAGAGCTTTTTATCGTGATTAATATTTTTTTATTATGAGTACTAACCATATACTTAATTGAACAGGTACCAACTAAAGAAATTCAGATTCCTGTTAAGTTTGGCCACATTGCGGGCAAGCTATGGGGCAACAGTAGTGAGCGACCTATACTGGCGTTACACGGATGGCAAGACAATGCGGGCACTTGGGACCCTCTGATCCCCATGATCATCAAAGACAGACCGATATTAGCATTGGACTTTCCTGGACATGGATTTTCGTCTTGGATTCCTCCTGGTAATTATAAATTTAATTAGTACATCCAGCTTCGAGCATCGAGTACTTACAGTTTAAAGTTTGGACTTTGGAGGATGTAATGTTGGTAACGTTCAACTATAGTATTATAAAATAAATATGGGTGTACTATGCCATACCAAATAATTAAATATCAATTGATCGATCACTATAGATCGAAAGCCTAAAATAAAAACGTTCATAATATCGAACGGTTATTGTATCTAACATTCAATACATCAAACGTTGCGCGTAAGTAACATTATCTCTCTTTTTTCTCAGATATGCAGTACTACCAATGGGAATTACCGAGAATTATTTTATATCTGAAAGAATACTTCAAAATGGAGAAAGTATCAATATTGTCTCATTCTATGGGAGCGATAGCATCCATGCGTTTTGCATCTGTGTTCCCAGATGACGTCGATTTTTATATTGCTGTGGACAGCCTTATTTATGACGACTACGATTTAGATGCAGTCGTAGGTAAAATTCCTACAACATTGAAAAAAGCTTTAATCGCACAGACTCGACTAAATGACGAGCCACCAGCATACAGTTTAGAGGAAATGACCAAAATATGGCATTTGGGTACGAGGAAGTCTGTGGCTTTGGAAAGTGTTCCGCATTTACTGAAAAGGGGAATAAAACCATCAAAAGCTGATCCCAATAAGTATTATTTCTCCCGTGACTCAAGACTAAAGTACACATTGTTCAATCCAGAGGACAAAAAATTCGTTGAAGCCCTAGTAAGGAGACTGAAATGTCCGACATTGTATATCAAAGCGATAGACTCTCCCTATTCTTCTGACGCATATTCTATAGAAATGCGCGAAATATTAGAACAAAACAATGAAAATTACGAATTTCATTTTGTACCAGGTACACATCACGTTCACTTAAATAATCCCGAATTAGTAGCTCCTCTTATTAAAAATTTCATTCAAAATCATAATCTAAGTCTTTAAGTGAACAAATTGAACAATTTATTTATGAAATATTAAAGACAAGGTTCAGTATTGTGTTTAGAAACTTAGGTACTCAAATACGTTTTTGTTCTGTAAGATTGTGTTTATTGTGAATATTGCACAAATTAATTTTATATGCATTTTTTCAAGCATTATTATAAGTTTTGATGAAACATTTTGATATTCATGTCACTGAGGAATGTTGTATCTGTACAATCTAGTTACGAATGATAAATATTACTAAATACAATACACTAGTCACATTTGTTGTTACATTTAAAATAAATACTATATATAGATATATTGTATGTAAATAAGTTTAATATTCTTTACACAGGTAAACATAAAAAAGTCATAATTATTCATAAAAGCTACAGATATAATTTATACTTTAAGTAGAAATTAATTTGAAGCTTCACTAGTACATGAAATGTCTAAACTGGAATTACTAACACTGTCACAGACATGTGCACCTTTTCTTAGAGGCAGAACTTTCAGTAGTGCGTCTTGCCACGGCACTCCTTCACATACTCGTAGGACAATCTCAAACACTAAAAAGAAGAAAGATATTATTTTATAATATGTGTCGTCGTTGTTTAGGTTTATAAGACAAATTAGTATTTACAGTCTACAAAATAAGTTGTTATTTACCATGATCAATTGTTAGCACTTTTCTAGTTTTCATATTGATGTATTTATCCAGTGGTAGTTGTCCATGCCTAATACCTTGCTCTATTGCTATTTTATGGCAGAGACCCTGAAAAACATTATTTTATGTTTAGTCAATAAGTACAACCACATAAGTGAATTCACTATAAGATAAAACGAAAATGTGATGTATTTTTTTGTTGTGTGTGGGTCCCATATTGCAGTAAACAAGAGGTGTAATACATTTTCTGGGTGAGTTACTGTTAGGAAATCAGTTACCAAGGCACCTCATCACACAGGTACTAGGTTAGGCATAGATCTACTTTTACTACTAAATGGAGTCATATAATAAGCATCATAGTTATACAATGTCATATGAATTAGTGTCAAAGAATGTAGTTACCAGACTAATAATAACAATTTATGAGTTAATAGTTTAAAATTAACTTTAAACTAATTTATTATAATGACTTTTTGTACAAATATATATTGCTGGTCACTGAAAAATTTGTGATGTTACTAATTTAATTCTTTTTTCAAAAAGAAAAAGGAGTGTGTAAACTTAGTATCCATTTTGTATCTTTCAACCTCATAATACTCAATTGCAGAGTTTTTACTTATCTTCATAACAAAGGGCTATATGTTCTGCTTAAAACTTTGAATGTTAGATTTAAGTTTATAGTACTTAGTTTAGATTAAGATGTAACCTTATGTTTATTGTGATCTACAAGGCCTCCAATAATGTAAGCTGTGTTCTCTTCAAATTCTTCAATCACATTGTCAGATTCACTTGTTAAATACACTATTTTATCCTTTGGAAACACCTCAAGGTATGACACTTCATGAAAGTCTATCTGAAAAAAATATTAACAGGATTATTTGTTAAGAAAAACAAATGATATTATTTATTTTGAACATTACAAGTTAATAGTATGCTTTTACGATGTTATAATTTATTAATAAAGGGTTATTACAACAAAATGTTTTTATTTTATGAGAAAGTTATTAGAAATTAGCTCCATAAGATACAGGATCTAATTTTTTAGTACATTTTCTGACAAAATTAAGATTCTCTTTAATTAATAATAATAGGTTTGATTTGGTTTATGAATAAATTAATGAAAAATTATGATCACACTTTTGAAATAACAACTTAACAACCATCTTACATCCCAGTGTTCATATCCATTATGTCTGGACATATCACTCCTAGACCGTTCCCCAAAACTTGTTATGTGGAACTGAATTGGTGTTTCTGATCTTCTATTTATTGAGTAACAGCGTAGTATTTGTTTTATTACTTTAAATCTATCCTTTTCCATCATTAACTGATCGAAACCGAGATCTATTACGATTGAAATATTTTTTTTCGGTCTCTCTAACTTCATTTTCTTAAGTGCCTTCCTATTGGGTCCTAGAACAATATTGGCTTCCCGTGCCTCCTTCCGCCTTTCTTTGGCTCTTGCTTTCTCTTTTGCACGTTTCTCTGCTTTGCGATTTTCCCATTTTACTTTTTTTAACCATTTGCGCATTTGATTCTTTGTGAAAGGTCTTGGAATTTCATTCCCTTCGTCGTCTTTCAGACCCGAGTCTATTCTTATATCAAACAATGTAAATTGGGGAAAATGATTGTCTTCTTGCTCATTATGGACAGGTGCATCTAATTGTATATTATTTCTTTCACTGTCCTCCATTTCAACTCTAGTTTATGATTAATATTCTTAATATATTTTGATAACTGGCGAAAAGAAAACAACAACCAATATTCCACGTGTTTTCACTTTTGCTTTCTATTTCATGGCCACTATACTACGTATCAGTTTATTACCTTTAGAAATATTCACACTTTATAACAAAATATTGTATCCTATTTCGGTAAATAAATATTTTAGCTATTAATTTATATTTTTTGAGGTTATGCGATTGTATTCATTTTGAAATGAATGTCAATGTCAATTGTCAATTCTGTCATGAGTTTTGGGCCGCGGTTGGGCCGGGCAGGCGGGCAACTGAATCGTTGAAACTCATGAAACAACAAAACGTTAATTCCCTACGTTTTATTACCACATAAAAAATACCTGTAAAAAATAGAACATTTTATGTACATACCTAATAATTTTATATAAAGCGACGACAAAATATTAATTTGATATTAGAAAAAACTTTAAAAAGAACTCGATATTGGTATAAACCTAAATAAAACGATGCGACGCTAATATCTAAACTCTTTGAGCCTGGAACTAAAAATGCTCACATCTCACGCTATTGCTACTTTAGACAAATTAATGTAACTGTACCTATAACATTTTGATGAGTGATAACCATTTAACCTCTGCAGATAAGGAAAAGATAATTACCAATATTTAACTATGCTCTCCTTTCAAGTTATCTTGAATTCATTCGGCGAAGATAATGTCTACAGTAAGTACATAATATCTTGTTTTGAGGTTTATGTTCAATTCAGTTTAATAATTATGCTTATTTTCCTGCCATCGCTATAGGATAGGTATCAATTATGGGGGGGATGTTTCGAAGAAGAACCTTCTTCAGTACTGCGGAGATTAAACGACTCTTTAATCGTGGATACTCGATTATTTCGAGAGGATATACAAGGTAGTCGTGGCTGGGCTGCCGAACTACATCGAAGTGGACACCTTTCCGAGGAAGATAATAAATCCATACAGGAAGGCCTTAACATGGTAAATACACCTAGGTAAATTTTGAAATCACTGTCTTTGAATCATCGCGTAATGGGTGTGTCATTATGTGGTGTTCGTAAACCCACTTCGGTATAGATTAAGTAAAGACAGTGATTTCAAAATTTACTGATACCTAAGTGGATACCCGACTTACTGCCTAAATAGTGTTTATTTAACTGATCTCTGATATTCTTAACTGATCACCGTAGGTACTGCACAACTTCACAAATAACGTCGACTGCACTTTACTCAGACATACCTACTTTTCACTCTGTCTACTAGAATGGTTGCTTGCCTAACCTATCTACCTACCTCCAATTAGAATAATTTGAATTTGCTGTTTGGTAGGTCGAGAAAGACATTGAGAAAGAAATAACCCAACATGGACGCTTGAATGACCCTGAAGAAGACATTCATTCAGTAGTCGAACGACGGCTGTTCAAGTATGCTGGGGACGCAGCACTGCGCCTCCACACTGCTCGCAGTCGAAATGACCAATCTGCCACCGACACGCGACTGTGGATGCTCAAAAACTTACCTAAATTACACACTGCTCTCAAAGAATTGATCACGGTAAGTAGGTATACCGTACCAAGAACGAAACAAAACAGCAAAATTATACTTTTTAATCCCTAAAGAAGCGAAGAAAAATGTTACAAGCTATAAATATTACAACAAATAAATAAATTTTGCCTGACCCGGTAATCGAAGTGCCATAGTAAATAACACTAGAAAGTAAGTACTTACCTACCTACTAGTCTACAGGCTAAAAATAGTGTTAAATAGAGACTAAAAACATTTTTCTTCGCTTCTTTAGGGATTAAAAAGTATTACCTAAAATTTTCAAATTTTCATTGACTCTTTTTAGGTTCTGGTTAATAGAGCAAGCAGTGAAATTGGAATTATAACACCAGGATACACGCATCTCCAGCGTGCTCAACCTGTACGTTGGAGTCACTTTCTGCTAAGGTATATTACAAAAATACATAAGACTGTTTAAATATTGCCCTATTTATTTCATAGATAACGTAAATAATTTATTTTCTTATTTTTTTCGAAATTTCAGTCACGCTTGGTGCCTTCGCGACGATGTGACGAGACTTGAAGAACAAAAAAAACGCTTATCTCGTTGCCCGCTAGGCAGTGGAGCTATTGCTGGCTGCGCTCTATCTATTGATAGAAATAGACTAGCCGTTAGTTTAGGATTCGAGGATCTTACACCAAACTCCATGTTTGCTGTCAGTTCAAGAGACCATTTAGGTAATTATAGTCTTTGTTGAAATTGGAACGTAGTTTTAATTACAGCCAGCTTATTTGATGTTAAATAAATTACAGTGGAGTTCTTTAACTGGGCGTCGCTGTGTGGTTTACATCTCAGTCGATTAGCAGAAGATCTTATTATCTACAGTTCTCAAGAGTTTGGCATTATCAGGTTTTCTGATCAATTTTCGACTGGATCAAGCCTAATGCCCCAGAAACGCAATCCTGATGGATTGGAACTCATCAGAGGCGCTGCAGGTCTCTTACTGGGGGATGCAGTTGGATTCAGTTGCTTAGTAAAAGGACTTCCGAGCACTTACAATAAAGACTTACAGTCTGATAAAGAGCTTTTGTTCAGGTCTTATGACCGTTTGCTGGATTGCTTAAAAGTCGCTGCAGGAACAATTTCAACTATGGATGTAAGTAAGATTTGTTATACTTCTCAAACTGAAGGCTTAAAGGAAATAAGTTATAAGTTTAATTTCGTTTTTTCAGGTGAACAGTGAGAAAGCTTTAAGTGCTCTGGACCCTGGTATGCTAGCGACTGACCTGGCCCATGCTCTGGTTCGTCGTGGCGTCCCCTTTCGACGAGCTCACCACTTGGTTGGGTCAGCTCTGAAACGAGCATCTATCCTCAGCGTCGACCTCCGAAACTTACCGTACCAAGAATATCATACCATTTGGTAAGTTGATAAGTTCCCTTAAAATAATAGGCAATAAAAACCTTAATTCTATTTCGAAAACAGAAGTGACATAATACAGAATAGCAAAAAGTGGGAAAAAGGTATAAAACACCGTCGTGTTTGGTATTTCCTACTGCCAACTGACCTATGGATGGGTTTAATTAAAATAGGTAGGTAAATAAATTATTATATTTTCGGCTTACTCACGTAATAATTTGACGAGGAACTCGACTAGTTTCAAGCCATGCTAGAGGCTCATATTCATGAGCAGCATTTCGCAACCCGCGACGCGGCGATTGTCGCGCCGCTACTGCTGCTACCCAGTAGCAGCGCGACAGTCGCCGCGTCGTGAAAAATATAATAATTTATTTAGTATGTCTCACGAAAGTTACAATACAAATAGGTAGGTAGGTAGGTATCTACTCATCAGCACTTTTTGATTGACACAGATATTGAACCCACGATACGTTACATCACGCTCACTTCTAATTAATATGTGTTTTAGGTACCTAATGATAATGATAATAATTTGAAGTTGTTCAATGTCCTCATCACAGCTACTGCCTACACTCTACAGAAATAACTATTTTCTATTACAGCCCAGAGTTCGGGACGGAGGAAGAACTTGCCAGCATTTTCTCATGGGAAACAAGTGTGGAACAATACACCAGTTTAGGTGGAACTGCACTGTCTGCTGTTAATCATCAAATTGAAACATTACGGTCATGGCTCCAAGTACCAACAGATTTAAGATGCAGTAAATAAATACGTCGTGCTCTTCACAAATAAAGTGTCGTTAAATCGTTAGATATTATGTTACAGTTACATATTCTGCTTGTGTAAGAAAGAAAGAAATAATGAAACTTAAACTCTATAATTATTTTTGATATCTATAAAGTCTGTAATACCCTTTCCTGCAATAGCTACAATCTACTTAGACCTAACGAAACGGAATGTGGGCGCAGTTTAATTATTTTAACGTAGCTTTTGCTTAAGTGCCAAATAACAAGTTTACTTACCTTCCTACATGAAGGAAAATAAGTATTTAGGCAGAACACTTATCTGCCCTAAGCTTCGATTAAACTCTTAATCAGAATTATACCACGTTTCCCCTTTACCTTCACTACTATAACATACCTACCTAAAGAATAGGTTTCTTTATTACCTCTGTAAATAGGTCTAAGAAATGAAATCCAATTAGGGCAGGACGATTGGTCACGTAAACAATGAACCATCAAACCTTAATCAAATATGCATTACATTGAAGCAAACAAAACCTACCTAGATAAATAAGAATCAATTTCTTTGCTCATACAGTGTCGCAGGACAAAGCAAATAATAAGGAACGAGTAGATCTATAACTGCCGCATTCTAGATAATCATTAATAGATATTGTTACGACGAGTTAAGTAAAAATAAAATATGACGTAAGTTAAGTTGACAACCACAGGCACTGCGAAGGGTTGCCGAGTGCGGTTCAGCTGTCTCTCGCACCGCTCCGTGGGCCGTCGCTCCGCTTCCGCCTGAATGCGCGCCCCGCGACCCTGCCAGGAAAAACAACTTCGCCCCCCGGCCGGCCGCCCACAATGCTTGCCCATTTAACCGCCGCTACGCATTCTACCATTGCCATTCCGAAAAGCAGACGGTCTCCATCAAATACAAATACAATTATTACTAAACAATACCATTGGACTCTGTGCACCTAATTGCGTTTGTTGAATTTAGCTTCACGATTAAGTGTTGTGTGAAGTTTAAACAAGGGTTAATTTAATTGGAATGTAAGTTCAACAATTTAAGTTTTGACAATTCAAGTTATCGTGTTAGTGGGTAGGTAGGTAGGTAAGGCCACTTTGTTTCATACCTGCAACGATAAACAATTTATCACTTTTCAATAAAGTTTTGAAAGCTCGTGCAAAGTGCGTGTGATATTTTATGGGTCAGCAGGTGTTGTACCTAATCAACATTGTTTTAATAAAGCAATACCTAGTGTGGGTGATGAATTGTTTAATTGCTGTGAATTAATTTCTAAGCGGGGCTTTGAAACCGCGCGCACCCACATGCGGTTTATGACATGAGTTTTATGAAGGGACTTAAACTAGTGAATATAATAATACATTATATTAAACCAGCTTAGGTACCGATAATGATAACGTAAACCTACGTTATCTATTTAAGCTTAAGGTCCTGGGGTTAAATATTTATTTACATTCATTCATGATCGATATTTTCTAGTGCTTATTTAAAAGCGTATCAGCTAAATTCCACACAAACGTCTGAATGTGCCTAAAGCAGCAGGTAAACTTTAACTGAATACCTACTCAAAATGTTTGTCATATTAATTATTTCTATAATAAGTCTAAGTAGTGGGTCAAATTATTCCGGATTATTAAACACATAAATAAATTAACTTTTTAGCAGTGACACACAATGGTGAACCTAATTCGTCGAGTGGTTTTTCTCTTCATGACACTAGTTATCACGAATGAAGTCTTTGCCAATGACTACGCTATGGAACCTGAACTTGAGTCATACGGAGAGGAAGAATTAGCTGAAATGATACCTTCTATGGAGAATGATAAGGTATAAAGTGACACTTATTTTTTTATTCTCTCTTTTTTGCGGTTATTGGGTACTTTAATCATAATACAAAACCGTACCTACATAACATCTACCCATCTTTCTAAGACCTTTCGCTATAAGTATTCGTATAATTACGCATATAATATAATATGGTTGTAAAATCCTACTAATATGATAAATGCGAAAGTTTGATTGTTTACTCCTTCACGCAAAAACGGCTGTAAGGATCGGTATGGAACTTGGAACAAGGGTAGATTGTGGGTCTGGAATAACACATAGACTAATTTTTATCCCACGGGAACGCGAGCGAAGCCGCTAGCAGAAGCTAGTATTGTATAAAAGCGTTATACCTAGTCTCGGCCTCATGATATTCCGTAAAAAGCAAATAGGTAGGTTATTACGTAAGTAAATAATATTAGAGTCCTAAATACAATGTGAATATCCGGTATGTAATCGCTAAGTAATCGGTGGTCTACTTCATATTAAATTAATATGATTAATTGAGAAATTAGACTAGGCTAGGTAATATGTTACCTACCTACCATTATACATATCATAATTATTTCAAACTAGCTTTTACCCGCGGCTTCGCTCGCGTCACAAAAGGATAAAAGTAGCCTATACCAATACACACAGCGCCATCTATACCAATTTTTTTGTTTTTCCTCGGGAATACCAAAATTTTCCGGGATAAAAAGTACCCTATTATTTAATTCGGACTTCTAATTTTACGTCTGCAAAAATTCGAACCAATCGGGTTAGAAGTTACGGCGTGAAAGCGGAACAAACAAACAAACTCACTTTCCCATTTACAATAGTAAGGATGTCAGCGCCATTGTACCCTTTTGATCTTTTCACCGCCAAACATTATTATCAATTTATCGCCGGATATGGGATCAGTTTGGGATCAGCGGTAAACATATTAATTTCTAATCATGTAATATATAATTTTTCACACGTTTTGTATCTTTGCTTGGGCTTACAAATAATTCCATAATGTTTGATATCTGACACAAAGGCTTTTAGCCTTTTAGGTAGGTATTAAATGAATGATATTGATATAACCATGATACTGAATCAAACTTCGGCACTCTTGCTCCATGAGATAATTAAGTAATCAATAAAGTAATAAACCTCATTGATAAATTAATGTACAACTAACATTAATTTATCAATGAGGTTTACCTGCCTGTGCTGGCCTATGCCTACATGTTTCCAATATATGGCATGCTTTTCTTTTTGCTTTGAGTTTTATTTCGTATCTATAAACACCTAAATGCTACACAAAGTGAAAAATACTTAAAAACAATTAAACGACATAACAATAAAACTGAAAAATTTACAGGAAAGTTTTTTAAAACTTTCACCGGGAATCGAATCTGCTACGTACGATAAAAAATCCTCTAAGTACCTTTATCATACCCATTCCAAAGTTTCAAATTAAGCAAAAAGACCATGAATTTTAACATTCGCGTGACTTGGATAACATTTCTCTTTTCGTTAGTTGTTAGGACATATACCCAAATACACAGAACATTTAAACCTACTTTACATGTTCTGTGCCCAAATACCATACCATAAATCGGGTTCAATATTGGATTTCATACTATTACTGAGATATTCGCACAGAGTAGGTACCCTGATTCACACAGTCAGACTGATTTAGTAAGTAAGAGTGTGACACTCCCTCCCGTCTCACCCCGGCGGGAGGAGTCATACGATTTTCCCACATATAATATAACATAACATGACGCCTTTTAACCTCGAAGGGGTAGGCAGAGGTGCACATTATACCACTGTACAATGTAACACCCACTTTTCACTATTTATGTTACGAGTCCCATGAAATAGGGGGTGAGCCTATTGCCATATACCGGGCACAGTTCCAGACTCCGTGCTACTACTGAGAATTTTTTAAAAACCCAGTAATAGTTTGCCCGACCCAGGAATCGAACCCGAGACCCCTTACCCGGCAGTCGCAATTGCGACCATTCGGCCAACGAGGCAGCCCCCTTAAAAAAAAAATTAGTACCCTCGGTTATCATGCTTGCGTAAAAAATGTATGTCTAATATTTGTAAATCTGTTTTCAGTACATCCGGCACATTCATTCCATGATTAACGCATACAGAGATGACATCTTGGGTCGTCGAATGGTAATTGAAACAAATGCACTTGTTGACACGAAGTACAAAACATGGAAACGCAATGGAGACTTGATAAATTCTCTTCTGGCACTACCCAAAGGCATGAATGACGCAGGCCGTTAGGCATATACTCGACTTAGATGTATTAAATTACTGTGATTAATACAAAATAATAATATTAATATTTATGATTATGACATAAGGTTTTAATTCAAATGAACAAGTCACGCGAGGCCAAGTCTCAAAGGCTAATAAAACAATCTGTTACTAATATTAAAATAAAAAAATACAGTTCTTGTTTTCAAAACACATATTTATTGTACCATATTGTAATTCTACACTAAATTCACCTTCATAGAGGTGTAACTAATTAAAGAGGTATTTACAGTTACTTGTAACTACACAATACATGTTGTTGAATACCTTAGTTGTGTGCATTCAACAGAGGCAGAACGCTGCGTACTCAATCCATTACATATTTTGAGCGTTAGACTCTCAACATATTTATTGCATATGATTACAATAATGAAAAAATATTATTCCTTGTTATTTTACATTCACAATGGCAGAGTCACAATGTTTTTTAAAGTCTAGATAATATTAATAATGTATTCCATAAGTACATTAAGTAACAATATAATATTTACATGAGCTTTTTATTTATATTGAAGTTCTCATAAATGTTGTAACGCATGATTTTATTGCAATATACAGAATACTTATAAAAATGGCAGTTTCTTTTGAAATTCTGATTTGCACAACACATATTATATAATATTAAAAAAATATTTTATTCATCACATGTATTCCCTACATTCCGGACTAAAATTGTGCCTCACAAGGCTTCATGCCTCATACATTAACAGGTATGAGAATTGAAACATCTCATCAGATCCTGATCAGATGAAATGGTACTTTAACAGTTAATCTATACAAATATAAAGTTCCTATGTTGGAGTAGTCTAGCTGATCTGGACTATTACGTAACTAGATAACTCGTTAATACATAGTATAAATTAGTAACTAAAGATTAACTATCGTTTCGAGCGCTGCCCGAGTCGTCGATGCTAGAACTTGAGCGAGAAACCTGGCGCCACGTTAAGCGAGCGCTGGTGTAGTTGGAAGCCGAGCGCCTCGTCCGTGTCTGCGCGAGCGAACTGAGCGTAGGCCGCGCCTCCCGCAGGCGGCCGCGGGCTGTGCGTGCTGCGCCGGTTGCCCTCAGATTTGGCCGGCCACGTCGGGAACATCGCCGGCTCGATCGCCACTGGTTGCTCCTGCACAGTACAAAACACTATTTAGACACAATCATATACTTTACTACTATAAACATGAGCATACTATAAACATGAGCATACATAATTATTTAGCATACATATAAATATACAAAATGAAAAGGTTCAAGAATAACTCTACCTTAAAATAAGCGTGATCTAAAGCGGCGTCTGCTGTCACCCTCCTGACAGGATTGTATGTCAAAAAGCCTTGTAGTAAAGATAAGCCAGTTTCAGAAAGTAGATCAGCTCCTATTCTTTGGCGTAACCCGCCAGTAGGATGTTCTGCAAATGTCATTCTTTGTACTGCTGGTAATTCACTGTAACCGGGCCAAATCAACTCAGAAGGTGTACCCAAATCCTAGAAATAAAAGAGCAACGATTAAGATGTTTTATATCAAAAAAACCTAGATTATTTAACTTAGTTTAAAAATAAACAAACCTTAAAAATTCTGTTTAACTGATCCACCTCTGATTTTCCGGGAAATAGCGGATTCATGCTTATGAACTCGGCGAATATACAGCCTACACTCCACATATCGATGGGCGTGGAGTATTCCTTACAGCACAGTAGCAGCTCAGGCGCGCGGTACCAAAGTGTTACCACGATCGGGGTATACTGCCGGAGGGGAGATCCATACTCTCGGGCTAACCCAAAATCTCCCACCTAAAAAAGATATTTTATTATTGAATGCAATTTTTGGCGCATGATTAAATTAAGTTGCTACCAAGAAATTTATGAAACTGACCTTTAAAACACCTTTGTGTGATAATAACAAATTGCTGGTCTTAAGATCCCTGTGTAATATCCAATTGTCATGCAGATGATGCACAGCCCTCAACAACTGCGTCATAAGACATTTTACCTCACCTGGAAACAAAAAGTCATCATTAAGAGGGAACATCCATAATTTTATTACATAATAATATAATCTTAGTAATATTACTGTAAAGTCGGAATCATACCGGGTAGAAAAACTTGTTTCTTTCCGCGCATCGTCTCCATGAGACTTCTCAAGTCATGCTCGACGTAATCCATGACAATGAAAATCTTATCCATGTTGGAGCCCACCACTATCTCCCGCACTGTGACAATGTTCGGATGCTGGCCCTGCAACAACAGAGCAGAATGTGCGACTCATTAATACGAGGACGTAGCAGACCATCTCACGGTATTCACTTATCGTCGAAATCCATACTGTGACAATGCAGTCGTACATAACAGTATTATCTGAAAGTGAATGCTTCACACTACTATAATCATTATTTTACATTATATAAAAATATATATCGTAATAACAAATAAAGATATTTTCTCAATAAAAAGTTGCGAAAGTTTGAGCAGTCAGTTAAAAAATCTATAAAAATACATATATTAATACTTGTTAAATATGCTTCATACATTAAGTAATGATATGCGGAGCTTCGGGACCTTTTTTCGTTTATGGTCTTTACATATACCTTACTAAAACACGTTCTTTAACACTTATATATAATAAAAATATTATACATCAATTGTGTAACAAATATAAATAAACAGGTAAAATAAAAATGATTCAAAAATTTACACTTTGTTCTATCATAGTTAAGTATAGAATATATATATCATGTTACGAAATAAACCCAAACTTTCACAAAATTTTAATTTTACGGAGAAACTACAAAAATCTCGTTTTAATCTTTATCATATAGTGAACTTTAATTACCAAGATAGAAAAATAAAGCAACAGATACAACTCAAACAAGACCTGTTTATACACTGTGAAGAAAACATTTTCAGAAATCTGTACAATCTTGATATGTGTCAAACAAGTATTTAATTTTAAAATCCAATAACATTTGTCTATCAACCAACCTAGTTCCGTAGGAATGTTAAATATTGATGGTACTTTCAGAAGATTACCCAAATACAAAAAATACCTTCAGCGAGCAACAAATGCTTCAATTTAATAGTAGTTTAATAACTCTTCGTCATTGACCCAGTGTTCATTAAGTAAATATACAAAATTATTTTTAAAATTTATAAAATTGACGCATATCAAGATTTGCCATATCTACAATAATTTATTGATTTATCTACAATTTAATTAAAACAAAGGCGGAAAATAAATAAATATTAACAATAACATTCATATTGCCCATTCCACTGGTGACAGTTGTAGTAGTTGTAGGTCTATCTTATTTAATCAAACTGTAGATAACAATATCTGTAATCCCGTGGAGCAATAACTAAAATCACGCAGGATATCTACATGTCAGGATAAATATGGCTCGCAGTGTGGCGGCGGCATTTATTTGAAGTGTCGCCACCACTTTGAAATACGTGATTTTAATTTATCTATGTATGACGACTTTCCAGGTACCATACAAATACTATAATGTACCATACAACCTTATAATATAATTTTGTTAAAACTCGTCAGCGTATTTCTTTGTGGCTGGAAACTTTTTCATGGTGGCAAATAAATTCGTTTATAATTTTCCAGCAATTTTGAAAGATGCTTAGGTATCGTAAACAAGTTTTGGCTCTTGTTTAGGAAACGTATTACATACACACATACACACACGTTAACGTTTGAAGAACAATACTAATATTTCAGCTTAGAGGATTTTCTAGAGGACAATATTTTTTCAACAAGCAATAGTATGCCGTCAATCAACGTTAACAAATTGCAACATTAAATTTCGAATGGCAATGGTATCGCTTGCATTTTGTCCCATAGTAAATCGGACGCTTCATAAGAAAATTAATATTTTAGCAAACAGACTTCCATTTTGGCAGCTATACCAACAGTTGAAAAAAGATAAACTTAGATTACTTTGTTAGAAAGCTAAAGTTATAAGGAAATACATTAAACAATGCTGTTTGAATAAAATTTCTTGTCACACTGTAACTTACAATACATAACAGTGAAATAAAAAGAAAATTATCGAATAATTTGATACTGAGAGATTACTCACTATGGTATAATACATATTATACATTATGCATTCAATTATTTCCATTACATACCAAATAAGTGACTTAAAACTAAAATTAAAAGAAACAAGTTACATACACACTTTCTAATCTACATTCACACAATGCATGCAACAGAAACTTTCCAGAAAACCAGTTATGTGATAGTCTACATAGATTTGTAAAACAAAGTAATTTACATACATCTATTAGTTAGCATAGTTGCCATAATGATATCTGATATAATAATCGCGAGTGAACTTAAGATCTAATAAATACATTAATGACAAGAGACACAAAATACTGTGAAATGTAGTATTCTATGCATCATTCTGAGTATGTGATTTAATGAATTTTGCAATGCTAACCAAATTTATCCCAACAATATAAATATTATTGATAAGTGATATATGATTAGGATGAATTTAATACAGAAGGAATCAAATTCACCACGTGTTGAAATAGAATTCACAAAACATTTAATAACACGGTTTGAATTCATTATATTGTCTGCCAAGTTTGTTTGAAGATTGCAAAAAACCAATCCCGCGTAATTTTAAATTCGTGAAATGTCAATAGAATTTGATGGCAAAAAATTACGAACATCGAAAGTTATTAAAGTGTATATTATTTATATACACAAAGAAACCAGGTGACTTGTAACAAAGATAATCGTAAACATAGAGTATTGATTATGAGTTACAGAAATAAATTAATATTACTTCCAAAGTTGTACACCACTACAGATTTCAAGAATCTTAAAGAAGATTATCGGTAATTTCTTTTACGTTCTACTGAATACCATACATCGCTTTGTACTGGTCCAACGCTATGTAATCGCCTCCGTGTCACAAGAGTCGTAAGCTTTCATGGCCATTAGAGGCAGCATTCATCCTACGGTCCGACTGTTGCTGGTAAAGAAATCCAAATCACGTTCTACTTTGCTAACTATATTTACACAGTTCTTTATAAAGATGCTTGATTAAACACATTACAGTTCCGATAATTACCAATTAAAAAGGAACATTACCGAATACAAAAACATTACAACTTAAAAATATTGGCCATTATTACACTTATCGTAACAATCAATTCTTCAACCTTGTAAGTAAAAATGCTGCGAATCATCCATCGTCTCCCTATAGTTAAGAATTCATCTTCAACTTAATTCAATCATCTAATATGTACCAAAACTTAAAATCCGAATTTCTTTTAAACTTCACAACTACCACGTACTAGACAAGGCGTCTCATAGTAAGTGGCTTTTCACACACTCCTTAGCTCCGGTTGCAGAGTAGCCAGTGTTAAACATACGTTGAAACGTACCGGTACGTGTGAAACTGGGCACTGGTTACACAGAAACCAAAGATGAAAAGAGCACTAAGTATTAAGTGCAGATGCTTCTGTGGAGCGACTAGAAGCGTAAGGAAAGGTTGAGGTTGAGACCAATAGCGCGTGGCAGGTCACCGATGCAACGGACCATTCAGATCAAAACTGCACTCGCTACACCAATGCACAAAAGGTGCTGCAGTTCGCGAGTGGTGACGTGCAAAGCTTGCCACAACACCTGACGTGACTGCCACGACTACTGTCAAGAGTGTAAGGACAAAGAAAAAGTTAAGAGCAGAGGTACCTACATTTAATAAGCGAAGTGACATAAAATTATATGTGGTTTCATCAAAGTAAAGATTTTAGCTAGGAACAGACCAGATTATGAATTATTACAGAAGATAATATTTTGACTTCGTTCAAGAAAATGTAATTTAAAGGCTTAGTTTTTTAGATATTGCACATTTTTAGAGAAACTAAACTCTTTTTAAAATCGTATTATAGATATACCTTTTCATATGACGACCGAAAATAATAACCCTCTTGCCCCAAAATCTCTGCATCAATCTATGTTTTACCAGAAACTCTATAGAACCAATGGCAAAAATCTATCTTTATTACATAATAATATAATAGAGTTTGGACCGAGATGGGTTATATTGATTTCTCGGCAGAAAACGCTGCTTACAGTGTTAAGTAACGCCAGAATTTCGCAGCATTACATAAATGTGTGTTAATTGAAGTGGAATTTTGTTCACACACGATATAGGCCACATCGATTAATTTGATAGGCCAGAGCAGGAGCAGGTCCTATTCGTGCTGTAACTGCTGACTAGTAAGTCCCTGTTAGGTAATCGATTACCTAATAAGGAACAAACATATCGAAAAATTTTAGTGTAAACCCCCGCAACACCAGCGAAGTTAAGGTTCTTATGATAGAAAAAATCCTGAAAATCTTATGGGAACGGGAGAAAACGGGATTACGTACGAAGTCGCGGGCAGAAGCTAGTCAGTAAATAATTAGGTAAGTAGAAGATAAGTTAGAAAATACATTTGAAGTATCTAAATAACGCGTATCGCGATATTTATGATGTTGAAGTTGAACAGAAATTTCACTAAAGGTCTGTTCCCATTTCACCAAAAGTTTCTATAATCTTAACCGACACACATGTAAGATTAATCAAATTATTCGCCAGTAAGACTAATTGACATTTAACCAAAGGTGGTTCGCCACCTGTTTCGACAGGGCCTGAGTCGTAACTAGTCAGGAGTAGAATATCTGTAGAGTAGTATGTGTACTCATTTACACTCTTAAAAAATATCAATTGGTCCTGTGTACACAAATAACATCTGTGTCAATAATTCGTTTCCTGTTAGATTCTCTAATGGCAACGATTTTAAAATACATAAACCCGAGTACAAAGTACATAGGAAAATCAGAATGGTCTCCAGTACCTACTAAAGTGTATGCAAAGCAAAATTGGTCAGAGTAGCGTGTTCATTAATTTGTCAATTGAATGCGCAAAGGCGTAAACAACTGACTGCGGGAATCATCTCTAGCTACCCATAAACCGTTACATTTAATTCTAATCGTTAAAGCGGCATAATATCTTTTAGGAACTTTACTCGCGTTTTTTATACGAATTAGTGATTCTAAAATAAAATAAAAATAGAAAAATAAACACTTAGGGCAGAATTGTAGAAAGATTTTTTCAGAAACGGAATGATACTAGCACTAATTCATATAAGATCTTAAAAACATTATTTTTTTGATATGTGTTATGACTGAAAAAAGTCTTGTGCGTCCAGAAAAACAAAGCAATCAAGCTAATTACTTGTCCTTATGCTTAATAAAAATGAAATTTAAAAAACGTTAGTGATAAAGTTCCAATTGAATATCAACCTCATTACAGATTATGTACTAGGTAGTTTACGGGTTGCTAGAGAGCTAAATATTATCGACCAAGCAACACTAACAAATATCAGATCAGGTTAAGACTGTTTCAACACAATATTTGCTGTCTAGTACTTTTCATAGTTGTTGGTGAAACATTGGATAACCCTCATAATATGTATGTCTTGTATACATTTAATTTAAATCGGGTAATTTGTTACAACATATACAAAACATACATTTACATAGATTGCTTGCATATTGCCAAATCAGAATATTAGAGCGACAGTAACTACTTATACCATATTAACAGTTAAAGAAATTACATCAAAGTGACCACACAAGTTCGCCCTTCAGACTTTAGAATTAATTTTAGGCTAGTGGCCTAAAATTAATTTGATTTGAGAAGCTTAGTGTAAAAAAATACTTTCATCACATTATCATACCAATGTTAAGTCAAAACTTCAAAATACTTAAAGTATTCCCTAATCTTTACCTGCTGATGTCTTGTTGATTTTACTTCAAATATTATCTTAAATATAACCTTCGATGTTCGTATTTTAAGCATTGGATGTAAAAGAATTACTTTTTGTTGGCCATCAAATTCGAAGATGTAGAACGTTACAAGAAGAAAGCATTGAAGGGTTGTCCCCCTGGAATAAATCCCTACACTTTTAAGCCCGCCCGTATCGGAGTTGTTAACCCTTGCAATCGGGTCACACCTCTAGCACAACCCTCTTGCAGGTAAGAGGTGCCGGGCCTGTAGGAATAAAATACAAGGCATTAATAAAATGAATTCAACACGGGAGCCATCGAGTGCTTCACAGCTCGTGGCTCAAACGCTAGCACTTAACTATAGTAAGTAGAATAATTTTAAAACAAAGTACCTTCAAGAAAAGAGCAGTGATGCATTGTGATGGCTCAAGTGAGCTTACAGTTATAACATTAGGATTGTGATCTTACCTTAAGCAAAGTGTTAATCTCTCGCAGAGAGGTGATGGGAAATCCTTCCTTCTCTTTTTCCATTTTAAGTCGTTTTAGAGCAACTATTTCATCAGTCGTTTTGTCACGTGCTCTATAAACTACTCCGTATGCACCTTCTTCAATTCTATTGAGGCATTGAAACTCCTCAACTGACCGACACCCCTATAAAACATTAAACATTTTTCAATATTTTTTTAACACATTCATGTTAATCACTTAAATATATTTAATACTTATTATTACAATGTGATTATACTCTTATGTTAAAAAAGTTGTGCCGACATTGTCACCTGAAAGTAATTTTTTCTCTTGAAACAAAATGTAATTAGCATTGACATACAAGGCCACAACCAATGTGTTAGTCTGAAATCGATTGTTAAACCCCACATAACATTATATTATGTTTTCAGTCATAGTGTACAGTACAACCATAACCCAGTGTTGATAAATTGCGCATGCGTACGGTGAGCTATCAGAGATGAATATGAACTAAAGGAAATGGACAAAAATATGCATTCTTCTATAAGACGCCAATGATTCATAAGTTGTTAAATTAGTAAAAGTGCTGAACAAACCCTTGGTATGGTTTGTAAGATATTGTTTAACAAAAATACGAAACATAAATTACCTGTAAGGCTGGGTAGTATGGAGGTAGAGCATTAATAGCTTCTTCCCTTTGTCTCGTTTCTTCATCATCTTCATTCAGTTTTTCTTCTTCTGCAATTTTTCCATTTTCTCCAGGAGGAGGAGGTGAAAAGGAATGTGATCTACTTCTACTTTTAGACCGAGACAAAGATCTGTAAGGAAAATTTTCGTTTTTTAATAAACATTACAATTTTAAATTGGTAAAAAATAAATAGATATGTATGTGTAAGTACCTGTGTGACCCGTGTGATGATGGCAAAGACTCTGGTTTAGACTTGGAGAGATTTGGACTAGGTGACTTAGATTTCGAAGGAGGTCTAGTTTTGTCATTGATCCTTTCTTTCTCTTTCTCATCTTTTTCAGTCTTTTCCTCATTTCTGTGCTCTTCTTCCTCTTCTTCTTCTGACTTAGACTCTGCTGCTGAATCTGATTCTGTGCTTGAACTATCCTCTTCTGTTTCACTATTTGTGTGTTCACCTAAACAGAACAAAAAAATTTAGAACACTTAAGTTATATAACATTAATTTAATTAATTATAATTTAAAAATGAGATTATTTCTTTACCATCTTCAGGCTCAGAATGTAGCGAGTCAGTTTTCATTTCTACGTCACTAGAGTCAGATACGGTTACAACAGAGTCACCATAGTTAGGTGAGTCTGTTTTAGTTTTCTTTGTCGCCGTCTCACTGGGAGATACAGAGCGTTTTTTGCCACGGCGGCGGTGCTCTAATCTTCGAGCCTCCAACTCAGTCCGGGATTCATGTTTCCGCTTTTCTCTTTCTTTATCTGAAACAAATTGGTGTCCTTCAATAAGGATTGATAAACTTGAATTAATTCTATATTTTGTATTCACATTACAATTTCATTACAATGCCTCTATCAATTTATCTTATCTGAAGTCTGACTGATAAGTATAGTAATTATTTAATACTAACCTGCAAATAAAACTTTATTTTTCCTATGTTCTTGGTGTTTGTCCAATGATGAGTGACGAGATGATGATTTCCCATCCTTTTCATAATAGTCTGAACTCTTCTTGCCTCCATCTTGACCTTGTAACTCTTTGGTTATCCTTTTGTTAAGTAATCTAGTTCTAAGGTCTTCCAATTCTTTATCTCCAGATGTTCTATCTCTGTTTTCCTTTTCATTGTTATGATTAGTATGGCCTTCTTCAGCTAATGACCTTAATCTAGATTCTATTCTCTCATTATCAGAGCGCTTTCTCTCTGCTTCAGCATATTTATATTGTCTCTCACGACCAAGATACACATCTCTTTGCATTTCTTTTTCTTTGTTATACATTTCTTTCTCTTTGTATAGCATTTCCTTCTCTCTATAGGCCTCCCTAGACCTAGCTGGTTCTCTGAAAGATGGATCTCTATACATTTCTCTCTCTCGGTAATGTTCTCTTTCTCTGTATTGATCTTTATCTCTATAAACTTCTTTTTCCCTCATCTCTCTCTCGCGGTACATATCTTTTTCTCTTATGTCTTTATTATCCCTGTACATATTATTATCTTTGCCGTCTCTGTACATTTCCTTTTCTCTGTAAGTTTCTTTATCTCGGTAGGATTCCTTGTCCCTAAATGTTTCCTTGCCCTCCCTATACATATCTTTTTCCCTGTAGTATTGCTTTTCTCTATAATATTCTTTGGCCATATCTTCACGTTCAGGATTCTTATTAATGTCTCGTTTTGTTTTGTCAGACTTATCACGTTCCCTGTTGAAAAAGGTTTATGATTGATCTATAACATTCCCAATGTCAGTAGGATGTCAGACCTTAAAGCACATAATATTAAGATTTATAAATATGTTATGACTCTCTATTTAGTGAAATAGGGTGGACCAGAACAGAATACATGCTAAATAAATTCACCTTTAAAAATTTAAAAACATCACAAGATAATATGCTTAAAATTCTGCATCAACTGGTCTGGAATATGCAAAATACAATGTAAACTCCATGTAACATAGTGATGTTAGATAAAGCAGATTACTGAGTGGAATAAAGTGTGCACATAAAATGCACAGACATTAGAGTATTTGTTCAGTGTAGAAAAGAAAAGTCAATATTATTTAATTGTTACATACTTTTTGTGGAGATAGTGAATAGATATTTATGTAGACACAAAATAAGAAACAAAAAATACCAAAGTGGTGAGATTTTAACACAACTGAGTGGAGTTTACATTGTATTTTATATAAGGTAGAAAAGTTAAACATTTATAAACTTACCTGTACATATGCTTTTTTTCTTTTCTCATATTGTCTTTGTATCTATCTTTGACGGTCCGTTTATGTCCTCTTTTATCTCTATGTGCTGTCCGAATCACAGCCTGGGGCGGCTTGATTATCAAAGAGTCAGCATTGTCTCGATCTTCATCAGATAAACTATAAATGTTCAACAAAATATATGATTTATAAAACCCTAAGCAAACACTTCACACAACGCCTTAAGAAATGTTAATTATATCATTAAGCTATTACCAAATCCACCATGTCACAATAATTACTCTAATAATAATCCTTAATCAATTCTCGTTAGCTAATAATGTTCTACTAACCATTAAATTGCTGCAACAATACACATTCAATAGGAAAATGTCTCTATTTTCCTAATGAATGTGTACATTAGTCCATTATAGTGGATATTAATGATCAAGTGGGGTTTAGTCTACAAAGCAAACATTATAACGAACAGATAAAAGTCTATGAATCATACACAAGAAAGAAAATAATTAAGGTTAAACATTGTAATAAAATTGTATTCTAATACATCATAAATTAAGGTTAAGTAAAATATAAATTGTATGCACTAAAACAATGTTCCCTGCTGAATTATAATCAATTTATTACCGATTTTCCTAAAACTAACTCCGATGGGTAAAACCCATTATTATAATAAACAGGTGGTGGTGTCACAGAAACCAAGTACGTCGAAAAGTACGGCGAATAGCAGCTAAGTATTATTACTTTTAATTTTTACATGACAGTACAAATTATATTATTTTTACACATGCGAATCCTTCAAACATAAAGATTATGAGATGGTTACGTACCTAAAATCCATTTCATCTTGGACAGGACTGCGAGCAAGCTCTCCATCCTCGCTTTGATCGTCTTCGTAATTACTCATGTTTTTTCTTTTCTTTACTACTTTGACCGTATGGTGTAACGACCAAGAAAAACACTCAAAGGCAAACACAACACACAAAGTCCAATAATTAGATAGGTTTTCGAATAAATGACGACGAAATTGCCAAATATAAATTAACACTCAACCAAGCCACAATTTTCTAGACACTCACGCTGAAAACGCCATTTTGTTTAGAGAAGTGTTTTTCTTAATTTTCGTGAGGAGACAACTTTGTCTATGACTAACTTAAAAAGAAGGCTTTTAGCCGCCGTATTTCGCAAAAGACACCCATACACTATGCTGCGTGGAGACTGCAAATGGTGAAAGTAAAGATTTTGTCTCTCCAACTGTTGATTTTATTCTGTTTCTTATTTGTTCTCTTGACATTGCTATTGTTGCTGTCCGGATTAGGCAACATCCATACTAGACCTAATCTGGGGTAGTCCTGATGGTTCTTTAAGGTACTAAAGAAAAGGGTTTCTTTAATCTGAGGTGTTGACAGACCAACAGATGAATGGTGGTACTGTATGTATATACTGGACCCCATACGAAAATAAACTAACGATGAATCACTGTTAAAGATAAACTTTGGCATCAATAGTGAACAAAAGAGAAACAGGTACGTTGCTGAAGAGAAGACTAGCCCGACCGCCCGAGTAGTTTTTTTTTTCAACATAATCTTGATCAAATCTATAATTACATGCTCTGTGATCAAATCTATCTAGTTCTGGATCAGACGATTACTTTCTAGTTTCTACTCTCAAATTAAGGTAAAGCTCAAAACAAGAAAGAAGGTTTCAATAATATGTTCTGTACTTAATCCAAGGTTTAATGACGGGTTTAAATGGTATAATCTATATTTTACTCTCCTACATTCATTCATCACTTCATTCACCATCCTATGATCCTATATAAATCGTTCTATTGTTCAATGAGAAAAATAAAATATAATGCAATTTGTCAAACGAGTACAACGAAAGTCAAAATAAATAATGTACTTTATTTACACAATATCTTTTTATTTCAGTTGTTGTTTTATGTCGTTTTATAAAGTCAATTAATAGATTACCTTAGTATCGTATTGTGTATTAGGAATCTTGATCATGGTAAGTTTCTTTCATAGTCAACTTATCCTTTAAAAATTCGATTATGTATCGTTAAAATATGCATTTAATAAAGTTTAGGCAGAAGTAAAACATAGAAAAAACAATGAATCAGTAACAATAGATTTTATTCATTTATAGGCACAGCACACTGGTACATAGATAATTACCTATATAATATAAAACAGCATCTATGCTTGAAAAACATAAATATTTAATCTCACACTAAAAAACCTTGGAATGAAATAACAATATTACGGAAAGGTAGAGTAAATGTAACAGAATTCTAGGAGGTAAACAGTTTTATTATAAAGTGAAATCATTAGGTACTAAAAATCAGCATTACATACCTACATACACCCTACTAGCACTTATAAGTGAGAGATTTCTTTGTTATTGAGATTATATATTTGTTGAATAATGAAGATAACACCTTACAACTAGGGTATGAAAACCGTGTCCTTGATTGAAGCAATGTGAAACCAAAAAAATGAGATTAACTTACACCTACATTGCCAAAGTGACCTTCACCTCTAGTCTTTATTGCCTCTGACAGTTTTATAAAGGATCCTAGTGTGCTACAAAGTATAAAAAGTGCTGGTCTTAATTCTTAAATTGTAATGTAAAATTAAAAATATATCACCTTTCTATAAGGTATCGGATATTGAAGAACACATAAGATTACAATTGGATGTTCTTTAAAAATTACATCTTTATTGTTTAGTGACTCTAAGATCAATCAATATTTTAAGATAACAATAACAACAAATTATCAGCTTTAAACTTAACATGTTTTGTTTCAGAATAGCAAGATATTAAACACAATAGCTAATGCCATCGATAATAGAGAAGAGTTGAAAAAAAGAATAGAAAATGGCAAAATAATTCATCAAGAATTATTAAATTGCATACAAAATTGCCAGAATCGGTTTGGAGGGAAGTCAGAGTTAGCCACAGAAGATGATATAAGGTGATAAATAATTAATATTTAATTTATTTACTTGTTATTATAAGATATTATAATAATTATTAGGTTATTCTTTCAGAATAGCTCAACTATGTGAAAAATGGGAGAAATTGCTTAGCCATGGCATTAGAACTAATTTATCAAACTCAGCAATTCAGAATTTGGTTACAGCAGGTTTAAACTTCACTTTTAATATTGTTAATGTTGGTAAGACAATGTTACATGATAAAAAATAAACTCGGATGTAGTTTTGCTTGCAGCAACACATGCATTATTTAATTTGTACTATCTTCTTCAAATATTGTTCTCTCTTAAATAAATCTTTCTTTGTTTCAGGTAACTCTCTCTGGAGTTACACTTGCTTACATTTGACGAAACATGAAAAAGAAAGATTCAAAATTCTAACGAATATTAACACACCACTTGGATACTTCAGAGCATTTCTTAGAGCTGCTTTGAATGAAAGGTCTCTTGACAGGTAAAGCTAATTATTTGTTTTTATGTAGCAATGTGCACAACAAACATGGGGTAAACTCTGCCATTTATGTCATGTATTATAATAATTTCAGATATCTTCAGAGCTGGATAAGTCATGGCCTGCTAATGGAATATTATGAAGAAGGTGCTCTGGTCCGAGGCCCTGAAACATCACATCTCATTCCAAGCATGGCTGCAGGTACAATATACATATTTTCAGAAATTATTTTACTCAAAAGCTTTCATAGTGTATAGAATTATGTTAAATAGGACGAGTAATAAACAAAACATAATTTCAGGTTTATCAACAGTATTGTTTGCGTTATCAATTGACAGACTAGAGTTGAATGACTCACAACAAGCTAATCAAACTAACAAAGCAGAACATGTGATACCTTTACCAATGCCAGTAAAATCATCGAGTAATTTGAAACGAAAACCACTGAGACAAGTTATATCCTTTGACAAAAATGAACAGAAAAATACCAAGACCAATAAAAAACAAGTATTTGGAGCAACAGAACAAGTTGATAATTCTGCTTGGAACAGTGCACCAGCCACTTGCCTCAATTCACCAGATCCCAAAATAGTTGCCCAGGCAGCCTCAAGCAGCGAACCAACTAGTTCAGAATACAAAACCAGTTTAAGGCATTTTTTTCCTGACAGTGTCAAAGTTATGGACAGTCCTTCACAAATTCTCTCCAAACTTTCTGAATGTGCAAAGGAAATATTTTCATCTTCTAGCAGTATTGATGTAAACAATGCCATCAAAGATGATGTTTCAGAATTAAGTATAAATAATTTAAAGATATCAGAAAGTGACAGTGAGGAAGTGGCGGGGAGTATTGATGGTAGTACTTCATGTCTAGAACTCTGTTTTACAGAGGACGAAAGTACGCCGGATGATAAGACATTAAATGCGATATTAGAAAGTAAGGATAAAGAGTATTTAAATTTACAACTAAAATACACTCAAATGGAAGTAGCTAGTAAGGAAAAAATTAAAAAGTTAGAAAATGTAGTATTGGATCTGAGCAAGTGAGTAAAATAAACCTGCTATACATTTTTGTTTCTTGATGTCTCATACTTAATTTTTTAATACAAAATGTACTATTATTTTTCACTATCAGCTTTATCATTGTGAGCATTTTGTCCAGTGCTGAATTAGACATAAAAATATTGTTTATCAATACATAGTATAAAACAAAGTCGCTTTCGCTGTATGTCCGTATGTATGCTTAGATCTTTAAAACTACGCAACGGATTTTGATGCGGTTTTTTTTAATAGATAGAGTGATTCTTAAGGAAGGTTTGTATGTATATACATATTGCACCCGTGCGAAGCCAGGGCGGGTCGCTAGTTATTTATAAATGAAACACATACCTTTACTTAATAAGTCATTTTGTCCGTTTTCAGAGAAAATGATCGATTAAAAGAGCAACTGCGGCATTACATGTCAGCTGTTGAAATCGCAAAAGCTTTAAAAACTGAAAACGTCGATAACACAGAAGTTGATCAGTACGAAAAAAAATTGGTTCAGGTACTATGTCATACATAAATTATAAATGTAATGGTAAAAATAATTTCTATCGTAAGTACAATAAACTGGGAGACTCATTGGCAGATCCCTTGTCGAATACAGATTATTAACAATTTATACGTAGTTCCCTGTGTTTTTTTTTATTATTCAGGTGGCTGAAATGCACGCTGAATTAATGGAGTTCAATACGTATCTACAACAGCGGCTTAAAGAGTACGAGAGTATATCGACATTAGAAGTACTGGATTACCCTGAGTCTAATGTGAAGGCACATATTCCGACTGCATTCTTAGTAGGAAAGAAAACACATTCATATCATGTTTATCAAGTAAGGAAATGTAATAGTAAGGGCAATTTTGGCAAAGTTTATGTAGTCAGCTAAAAAAATAAATGCTTGGAAAATACGTGAAATTGTTCGTCAGACTAACACACACATAATAAGAAATTGAAACAGACTCTAAGTATATTTCTTCTCGTTCTCGCCACTAACGTGTCGCAGCTGCCCACAAAAAAATCTTTATTTCTAGATTTATCTGAAGATTGGACAAGAAGAGTGGAATGTATACCACAGATACGCAAAATTTCATGAACTACACACGCAGCTCAAGAAATGTCATCCTGATATAGCGACGTATAAATTCCCTCCAAAGAAAACATTGCGAAAACGAGTAAGTTACGAGTATATTAAAAATATTAGCGACCCATGGCTGCTTCTGTGTAGAGATGGTATTGCCAACCCCCCCCCCCCCCCACATGCACACAAATATGTAATATCGGCAGAAGATCATTGATTGTGTTGCGAGAGCTAAAAGTTAAAAGATATGATTTCGGGGCATTCATTAGAATATTATCTTTACCTTTACTCTTATTTATTTATATTATCTTTGCTCAATTAGTAATAGTTATATATTTATAAATACATGTAGTTGTAACTTAGATTGGGGTATGATGAAAAGGGAAAAGCCTCTAAATAAATAAAGATATTTAAAAAAATATAGTAATTTATATGATTTCAGGACGCTCATTTAGTGGAACAGCGGCGAATTGCTTTGCAGGCGTATTTGCGACACATACTGCTGGTGTTGCCAGAGCTTAAAGAGTGCACCAACCGCGCACAACTCATCACTTTATTACCATTCTTTGGGTTGGTACAACAGCTGTGTATATTTACTTATATTATGTCTTTGTTAACTAATGAAATAATATATTCTTTTTTAGAACGTCATCTACCACTAAGGAGAATGGGTTTAATAACCCACTAGATCGTCAACAATCGAATGACTCCATTTCGTCGTACAATGCACTATGATATAGTTTCATTAATAAGAACATTCCCAAGTTAATAAGTACAGTATACATATTACACCAGTGCGTAGATATTTTCCAAATATAGAAGATATAAATTTAACTTATTTTTTGTTAGTATGTTGTGTGTTAGGTAGGGCTTTTAATATTATATTACACATGCGTATTAGAGATATTTTATAAGACACAAATAGATATAAAACTATGTACATATGTAAAAACGAATTTATAATTTGTGTACCTATTTATTCAAGTGCTTTATTGGGAACCTAGAATTATTTAACATAGCTAATTTTATTATAAATATACCTACTACTTTTAAATATGCTTAACCTAATGGTAATTTCACACATAAAAGGTCTATTATGAGATGCATGTCTCCAGTTCAAACCTAAATCAGGTGTGTCTTCAAAATCTAGTGATTTTCACCTACTTACTGATCCAGTGTTATGCTTATTTCCCTTGTGATGTCAGGCTTGCCTACCTAGGAAATTAAAATTTGTACATTGAAAATATTAATGAAATAATAAGTAGCGGGTGTTACTAGATAGACACCGAACCCAAGAATGTGAATAAAAGTTTTTGTCTGTCTGTATGTTAACGCAGCTCGCAAAAACTACCGGTTCAATTACGATGAAACTTTGTATGGCTATTCTTTAATATCCTGGGCACAACACTGGGTACTTTTTAAACCGAAAAAATCTAAGCATGAAAAAACAAACTTAATTGAGTCAGCTCAATCCCTAGATACAGTTACTGTACCAAACACAAATATAAAATCGAATGTCAGGTTACCTGCTGTGGACTTTTACACTGTAACTGTAGGGCCGATGGCTGAAATTAGCTTGAACCGATATTATCAATGCGAGTTTGTGTGTTTGTTTCTCAGTCACATCAAAACGGCTGCAGGGACCGGGATACAATTTGGAAAAGGTAGATTATGGTCTGGGAACACGGGCGAAACCGATGGCAGAAGTGAGTTTTAAATAAACAAGTTCGATTAATACGTAGTAGAAAAATAGATCTACTAATTACAATTTCTGACTTCCTAGGAAAGATCCCAAACTTAATATTTTATGTAACATCTCTCTTTTTGTTTAATAAATATAATGTGTATACTAAATATGTCTTAGAGACTAAAAAAATTATAAAATACAATTAATAATAGAGAAAATGAAGAACCAAGATAAGGTACCTATGCATATATATTTCTAGGTTTCCGTAATGAGCTACAACCTAAAATATCGAGTATTTTATACACATTGTTTAGAATGTAGAAAAGCGTTATAAATAAAAACAGTACCTAAACGACGCAGATCGCTTGTGAACTTTATTTTCTATCCTATCCTAAAACCACAGATAAAATAGTAAGAACTAAGAATCCTTACATTTAACTCGAACCGTTGTACAAACCGCGCGTAGAAGCGGATACCTCAGTGACAAATTGCAACAGTATTATAATTATTCTCTTTATAGTCCGTCCAACAGCCGATGCACACATTGCCTCGCCTTCCCCCCTCACCACATCGCGGCAGCGGAAGGCCCACCGGATAGCCGGGGCTCCGGCTCGAAGAGCAGGCGTAGGAACGGGTGGTTTAATCACTAAGAGTCTGATACACCCTCTCACCTAACCCAAGCAGGGAGAAGTAATTGGATGATTTACCCCCCTTAAAAAAAACTATACATCCTTACAGCATAGCAACATAGCACATCTCTGGTGTAAAGAACCCTTCTCGCGGCCTATAACTGTGCTGTGACTATAACCTACAATTTTTGTATGATTCCTTCCATTCAGAATTAATGGAAAATGATAAATACTTGATCGGCCCAGGAATCAATTTCCTTACCCATGCATTGTTATCCATCGATTGAGGTTGATTTCATCATCTATTATATAAAAATGTAGTGGATCTAGTTTCTATTATTAAATAGGGTATGAATGAAGTAATTATCGAATAAAAAACACTTTAGCAAATAAATTCATGATTTTATTTTCATAATAAATAAAAAAAATCAAGAAAACACTCTTTCTGAGGATTTCCCATATATTAAAATACATGATACAAAAGATGTCAATACAAACTAAATCACTTGGTGCAAAGGCAAGCCTGTCGGTTTGGGTTTGCCCACCTTCGGGCGCGTCTAAGGCGCGTCGACCTCCGGCTAGAGCTATCTATGCAACAGGCGAGTGGAAACCGAGGATAGCCTCTTTTAACTATATTTTAACAAAATAACTATAATCTTAAAGATTAACAAAGATACAATGTGCTTTCCTCGTGGAATGCATCTTTGTAGGCATCTCTAATTTTGAATGCAAAATATATGTATTTGATCATGATTTCAAAATAATGTAAGTAGAGGTATATAAAAAGCGCATTTATTACACTTCAAAAGTGAAAAAAAACGAGATAATTTAGTTTTATGTAATAAAATAAATAAAATATGATTAAAATCATGTATCTAAATTAAGGGTGAAATAATTTACTACAACTTTACATCTAAACGATATAAATGTATTGCAACACACTAAGGAGCTTTGGAACCATTGAGTAATTCGGAGCCTACAATAAATTTCAGCTGGTAAGTAATCTCGAACAATAAATCTAAACTTGTGATTCATCTTTGGTTTTGTGGACATTGAGTCGGCTATAGTTCCATAACTCCTCATAGGACGCAGCCAGAGCGCGGGCACTACACTGCTCAAGAGTCTAGATATAGAAGCCTACACTGGACTGCGATCCGTCGTGATTAATTCATAAGTACTTATATAAGTTACAGATCTACTGCGAAGCTGATGCATCCTAAAGCAAATAGAGAACTTTATAACCAAACATACATGTTAGATGCTGCTTTTTTTTATGTAGGTATATTTCTCATGTGAACAGATGTCAGGCGATGATTAGGAGTGAAGTATGCCTTACATTTCATTAAAAATATAATTTCTTAATCGTTACGGACTATATTATAAGAGCCGATATTGTAACTTAGTGACTAAAATTACTACTGAGACAGTTACAAGAAAGACGCAATACAAAAGTAAAATATTTGCTAAAAAAACATCACAGCTCACAAGCTAACGTGAAGGTGACGCGCAGTAAGGAGGGACTAAGCGAAAAGGTGCAATGAATGATAACCTACGATTATGCATCAACTATGTGTATTTATTATGTTTCTTAAGCAGTAACAAACGTACTGGTACAGTTTATAAAGTCACTGGAGCTAAATGTATTTAGTTGAAAGAGATTTTCATATTCATGCTTGAATACAAAAATCGCCCACTAAAATCGAATCGCATGTCAATCTGGCGCAGTCCGTGCCTAGTGACAGTGAACTTGCTTGTTGTAGCAAGTCGTCCAGGCACACGCACGTGAAACCAATGCCAACTCACCGGGTATGAGCGGATACCTGAAGCTTTATGTATGTATATCTGAATATGAATGGACCTTCTCGTTATCACCCATGACACCTTGTGAACATATATCAAAGGTTTTCGTTTCGTTAACTAAATAAATGCTCGCATGTCGGCATATCAACGCTTATCACAATATATAAAAATATATATTAAAGAAGCTTAAACTACAACTACACATTGAAGATGCACACTGCTCTGCATTTGCCACCACACGTGGAATAGTTAACAACGCCGACAGTAACATACATAATATTATATTTTTTTTACTTTTTTTGTTTTTATTTTATTTGTGCGGCAGCATATGCAATCCTGCAATAACTCACAGCATAGTCTTAAAGATAACGAGATATTGCATCTTGGAAATCATTGTTTTATATCCTTATGAGAAAGAAATGAGACCATTTAATATTCCATTTATTTCACACAAATTGGTAACTGGCTCGGTATGTCTTTGTACTGAATGATAACTCACCTCTCAGTTTGCAGCATTTCTTTCTCATGCAGGTAAATAATCTCTAAGTTCATCGAACATTTAATCGAGTTTAAGCATCCATAATGAGAAACTAAATTAATACTTTTGTCATTTCATAAAAATATTATATCTGATTTAAAAATAGCAACATCAAAGACAATTTTAAGCTTCGGTCTGCTCAAACCGTAATACTTTTATTTTAGACATGGTACTATATCGAATTTATATGAAACCTGATATATATTATATCGCAGAAAGCTATTTTACTGTTCTAAATCCATGTGCACTTAACAGACGTTAATATTAGGTAGCTCAAAACATTAAGCCTAAGAGAATACTACCGATATTTTTCTTTTTTTTTTGTTGCACTTATTATTAGGCTTTCCATAAACACATAGTTTTATAATAATGGTTACGATTTTTAAAAGAATTGTTTTCGTCGCCCCTGTAAGGTACATCTATGAAGTTTCATTTAAATTCTCTATGATGTAACGCTATCTCTTCAACTCTCATCTGTAACAAAGAGAGTGATTATGGGCACATTGAATTTAATAAGAGGCACTATTACACTTCAAAATAAAAATCTTACCTCGTGCACCCACGATGATCGACTTTCGTTTGATATCTTGCGCAGGTGCAGGTCTCACTACACCGGGAGTTCCACCGCCAACTAAGTGACCACCGCCAGCACGGATAGGTTTCGCTAAAATAAAATTATAACATGTTAACATTTTGAAATGGCTCCAGAGCTGTTGTAAGTTTTTAAAGTCTTTTATTTTATTTACATACCAATTTGGGCTTGTGGGCCTCGCCGGGCAAGATTCTTCGCACGCACGGCTTCTTTAATTCTATCAACTTCAAACTGATATCTCTTGCGATCACGCATGGCACCGTCCTTGGCTTCCTGCAATAAAAAAAAAAATAAAAATTAGTGAAGTGATTAATAGTAGAGAAACACATGGCTAGATCATGCTTGTAGGAAGTACTCGATACCTTGAGCGCAGTTTCCAGCGCCTTGACGCGCTCCATTGTGGCTCGTAGACGTTTTTCCAATTTGGGCACCTCGCAGCGAAGGTCTGCATTGTCACGAACAAGTTGCTTGTGCACCTTTGTTAGTTGTTCCAAGTTGTTCTCCAAGAACGAGATCTTCTGTTTCTGAGCTAATGAACCACCTTCCTCTTCGGCACCCTCTTCGGAATTGTTGGATTTCTTTATCCTTGCCTACGTAGTTAAATAAACATTAAATTTACC